AGTTCTGTGAAGCAGTCCGGGAGACCGCCTTTGAACCAGCCTTTTCGCTGTCCGCTTTTGGCAACCTCACAAATTAAGGGAGTGACTACAGTGCACAACTTGTTCATCACTGAGTAGGATTCAGTATTTGCCTGAATCTGGATATGATACTGAGCATATATGACGGGACAGGTTCCACAAATACTTCTTACTACCATGAATTATAAACTGTCTAATAGTAAGAGAATCAGAAGAGTGAACTAGTTTACATCCTAGGTATCATCGATCCCTAGGCATTCAGTGCCACCCATTGACAACTGCCTCTGTCCCAGCAACAAGTTCATCCAGCTCCTCCTTTCTAATCCTGTACGTTTCTTGAGCTTCCCGCTCTCTCTTCAGAACGAAGGCAACGTCGTCGCGGAGCTTCTCGAGCCTTCGCGAGATAGCCGATTCTTCGGATATTTGCAGGGTCTGGAAAGCATTCAACTCATCCTTCGAGTTTTCTAGAGCTGAGCTGGCCTCGACAATCTTGGTTCGAAGGGTCTTTGCGCGGTTTTGATAGCCACCGTAGTGCAGCGCTAGCTTCTTCTCAAGCTTGTTTCCTCGCTCTGCGGTAGCTAGCAGAGAAGCCTGCACATTCTCAAAGGCGTCAATCATTCGCTGTTCTTGTCGGTACATATCCTCCTCTTCATCGTCGTCACCGTAGTTGGCGAGCCCGGGGAGGGTGCTGGAATGCGTTGACGACCAACGATCATCAAAACCTTGCAGCCATTCCTGTTGCTGATCAGACGAAGCAACTTCCGCTACAATGGCAGCACGTGCTGCTTCGATGAGTTCATCGTCGAGTCGCTCCAGTTTCCGTGCCTTGCCTTCAACCTTGCCATTGGGAAGACGGAATTTTTGAGCGTCGTTGGCAATCAACAGAGCGGCTTCCTTAGCGATCATGCCATTGATGGGATCGGTAACCTGTGAGGCACGCGCCATCAGAGCATCTATATCGAGGACACTCGGACGTGGCAGTCCCCGCTGATAGACTTGGGTCTGGCGTTTCAACTCAGCTTGCGCAGCTCTCTCCCGTGCCTCCCTCTCTCTCCGATCACGCTCCGCAGCATCTTCTTCAGAAATCTCCGCCGCAGCAGTTGGCTCTGCAGACTCCGAGGGAAGTTCCTCGAGCTCCCATTCGGTTTCCTTAGGCTTCGGGAGCGACGCCAACTTGCTACGAATACCTTGACTGACGGCTTTTTGGTGCAATCTGATATCTCTCGGTGTGTTGCCAATCAACTGTCCGCCTTCCATCTGATTGAGCGCAAACTGATCTCTAGGAGTCCTGAGTGGGGTTGCCCCTGGCCCGATCCCACCATGCAATGGAGTCGCCCCCAAACCATTAGCTTGTCGGAAAGGAGTCGCCATTGGATTCGGCGTAACGATCTGTTGTCGCCGAGGGGCGATGCCATCAAAACCAGTAGAAGAACCTCCTTCGTGTAGAGGCGTATTCTCACCACCCAACAAAGATGATTGCGTTTCAGTCAGCGCTCTAATATTTCGGATCTCATTGGCGATATGATCCTCCTCTGGCGGCGCTCTTGGTGTCCTAATCGGCGTCCCACCGACGATAGAAGTGTAGTTACCGATCAAACCTCGAGTTGTTTCGTCGTCTCCAGACATCTTACTGGCCCTGTCTCCGGCCATGCCCAGTTTGATAATGTCCTCCATTTCGCTTTCGCTCACTTGAGGAGTTGGCAGGACAAGCGCTCGTCTCTTACTGCTCTGCTCAGCCTCGCGGATCTTCTGCATTTGGCCGGCCCTTGCGGCAGCAGCGAAAGCGGAGCTACCATTCTTGTCGTTCTTTCTCTTCTTCCTGTCCGCATCTTCTTCCTGATCTCCTTTTCGCTTGTTCGCAAGTTGTTGTTTTCGAGGATCAAACATTTCTCGCTGTCTTTCGTTCCGAGCTTCCTCCTCCATGGTATCGTAGAATCCAGGTACTGCTGGCTTCTCAAATGGGATGTCCGCGTTATAGTCCATTTCACCCTTCTTGCGAGTAACAACCTTGATATTGATGCCAGCATTTTTGAGTTCACGACGTTTCTGCAGGACAGCTAGTCTCCGGGACTCTTCGAGTTGCCGCTCTCTAGCCTTGCGCTTCGCCTTTTTTCCTTGGGTGTTCGCCAAACGAGCTCGAGCTTCACTCAGCATTTCCTTCTCATCTTCGTCGAGATCAATCGTGTCGGGACGGGCAGGTTTTGATTCCGGATCGGGATCTAATTCACCGGGTCTTCAAGATTATCAGCAAAACGAACATCTTTTCCAATCAGTGCGACCTCATACCTTAACCGTCTCACATCGTCCGCACTAGGCGCAGCCGCCTCGCCGCCAGAGGGCCCTCCCAGTCCCAGCTCATCGTTTTCCCGGGCCTCGGCTTCATCTAGCAGTTTCTGATAGCGTTCAAGGCATTGTGTTGCTGTCCTTCCGACAATAGGGGCGATTGTACGCCATTGTGTTGGCATCAACTTCGCCAGATGTAGCAGTTTCTCGTCTTCTTCCCTCGACCATTCGACCTTGCGAATACCAGGGTCCAACCACTCTACCCATCGTGCTTTGCATTGTTTAGGGGTCTTCCTCGCAAGGAGCGAAGAGACTCGCGCCCATTGGTTCAGGCCATACTTGGATACCTAGACGAAAGAAGGACGTGTCAGCTCACCAACTCTATTGGTCGTCCTACAAGTGAAATCGAACGCAATGACATACAGCCGCCCGGAGAACTTCATCCTCAATATTAGTCCTAATCACCCATTAGCCATGCCGAGATCCTCAGAAACGAAAGCGCAGATAGACTTACCAGACTCCTCCTTTAACAACGGGCATGGCGAATGTGGTCGCTCAGCGCGAACGATTTCACCAAGAAATATGGGTGCTGATATACAAATAAAAGAATCTTCGGATTTCTCTAATGCAGTAAATGAAACCGCACTGGCCAGAGTCGATAGAAATCGACGTGGGTCAGAAAGCGAGATTCAAGCAGGAAGGTCTTTACCTGAGCGGCCACACCACTTACGCCGCGAAGGAACATTAGCGCGGCAGCCGCCCTAGCGTCGCCCCCGCGATACCACATTAGGTAAGCGGGTCCAGATTTTTGGAATTTCTTCAGATCGTTATCGCAGCGACGAAAAGACACAAAACTACAAATTGACATTTTGAATCTGACTGCAAAGGGCTTCATAATGTCGGCCGTGGTTGAAGCTCCAAATCAATTCAAGCAACCTTCTCGTAAGGGCAAGAAGGCCTGGAGAAAAAATGTCGACGTTACGGAGGTCCAGGAAGGCCTTCGTCTTCTGAAAGACGAAGAAATCAAAGGGTATGTGCCCTCGAATGGACTCTTATCTAGAAAGCCTGTTCCGAACCTATATACTGATATGATTCCTTCTGTACAGTGGTGTTCTAGCAGAAAAGCCTTCAGAAGAATTGTTCGTCATCGATAAGAAGGGCTCCACCGAGATCAGAAATGCATACTTCAAACAGCACAAGCCTCTGAAGGCCGATGAGATCCTAGCCCAGCGTTCTGCAATTCCTGCAGTGGATACCCGCAAACGTTTGAACTCGAAAGTCACAGACGGTGTGATTGAACCGAAATCCAAAAGGCACAAGAGCGACTGGGTCACCCGCAAGGAATGGCTGCGCTTGAAGCAGGTGGCCAAGGAAGCGAATCCGACTCAGAAGGCGGAAGGAAGCGAGATTTACGACCCTTGGGCGGATGCTGAAGACCCAACACCTGTTGAAGACCCTCAGTTTGATTACCTCGAGAAGCCCAAGCCCAAAGTTGCACCCCCGACGATCAAGCAACCTCCAATTTCACTTGCCGCGAATGGAAAGCCAATCCCGTCTGTTCGTACACCAGATGCTGGCATCAGTTACAACCCGTCATTCGAGGATTGGGATCGTCTTCTACAAGAGAAGGGGCACGAAGCCGTAGAGGCTGAGAAGAAGCGCTTGGAAGAAGAGCGAAAGGAGCAAGAGAGGCAGCGCCTTATCGCCGAGGCACAAAATGATGACGGCGAAGTCAAATCTGACGATGAGAGTGCCTGGGAGGGATTCGAAAGTGAATATGAGAAACCAGAGTGGCTCAACAAGAAGCGCCCGGCGCGGAAGACGAAGGCAGAGAGAAATAAAATCAAGAGGCGCAAGGAGGCCGAGAGGAAAGCTAGATGGGAAGCCAAGATGAAACAGAAGGAAGAGCAACTTGAGCAAGCCAAGGCTATCGCGGAACAGGTGCAGCAGAGACAACTCGAAGGCAGCCAGGAGTCTGGGGATGAGTCTTCCGAAGAAGGAGATGATGTCGCCTTGCGGCGTAAGCCATTGGGCAAAGCCCGGTATGTTCTTCTTGATCCTGATTTTCGGATCTTACACGTACTAATTTGGCAATAGTGTGCCCGAGAAACCATTGGAGGTTGTACTCCCAGACGAACTTCAAGACTCATTACGTCTACTGAAGCCGGAAGGAAATCTACTAGATGACCGCTTCCGCACGTTAATAGTGCAGGGAAAGCTGGAATCTCGCAAACCGGTGACACAGGCCAAGAAGGCAAAGAGGAAGCTGACGGAGAAGTGGACATACAAGGACTTCAAGGTCCCAGGATTGGAGATTTGATAATTAGGTTTCCGTTTTTCTCGCTCTTCATAAAAGCGTGTTGCTATGAACTGGCTTTGCAATATAGAAATCATTCCACATTCTCAATCTCGCAATTGACCGCAGTCACTGAACCTACCATTTTTCTGTGGCCTCAATGCTAAGGTAGATCTAGTATGGGCTCTATAAGCCATAGATCCATGGGGTGCATTATATCGTGGTGTTCGAGACTAAAATGGTTGCCTGAGTGGGGCCTAAGGTTGTCCAAATTTTTAGCGCATCTATCTAATCGCCGATTTTTTGGAAAGAGATATGGAATGCTATAATCATACCCTTCTCAACACCACATCCTCTTTCACTCGGACCATCATGATGCTTTAGTATCGCACATACCTTTGGCATGGACGTCAATAATCTTTCCAGTAATTGGAAGAAACTTCAGGAAACGCTGAAAAAACAAAGCGCTTCCTCGGCCTCGAAGAAACGCAAGACATCGGACCGCGAGACTCAAAATGTTACGGCCAAGAAGCGGAAAACAGAGACAATAGAGCGCAAAAAGTCTTCATTAAAGAAGAAAAGAATGTCCGAGGGACAAGAGCATGGAGGGGACAAGAGCGCACAGGAATCTGTGGTGAAAACTATTTCCCGCAAAAGCTCTACGGCTACGATCTCCGAGCAATCGCGGACTGAGTCCAAGCCAGCAAAAGTTAACGAGGGCCGTTCACCTACGTTAGTAATTTCTATGCTATATATACTATCTGCGTCATCTAACCCCTCTTCAGTGCAGAAATAGGTAAATATGTCGCTATGGACTGCGAAATGGTGGGAGTCGGTCCCAACCCCGATAGCGATTCTGCCCTCGCGCGTGTCAGTATTGTCAACTTTAACGGCGAACAAGTATATGATTCGTACGTCAGGCCCAAAGAGATGGTTACAGACTGGCGGACGCATGTGAGCGGCATTTCTCCCAAGCACATGGCGGAGGCTCGATCCCTTGAACAAGTCCAGAAGGACGTTGCAGAGATACTTGACGGACGAATACTCGTTGGACATGCTGTGAGCAATGACTTGGATGTTCTTCTTCTGGGCCATCCCAAGCGCGACATCAGAGACACAAGCAAGCATCCTCCTTACCGGAAGATCGCGGGTGGTGGCTCTCCACGCTTGAAAATACTGGCGTCGGAGTTCCTAGGCTTGAATATTCAGGACGGCGCGCACTCTAGTGTCGAAGATGCGAAGGCTACGATGCTCCTGTATAGACGAGATAAAGAGGCCTTCGAGCGGGAGCATTTGAAGAAATGGCCAATTCGCGTCGTCGTCGACAAAAAGGAGAATGGCGAGGACCAGAAGAAGAAAAAGAAGAAGAAGAAGAAGCCTCGTAAGAGGTAGTGAATACCTCATAGCTGCAGTTGGAGACCTTATATACCCCTAGACTTCTGTCTCTTGTGTACATATCGCATCATTCATTATTTTGAAGGACCAGCTTCGAATAATCAGATAACTCAGGAAACAATTTTTCTATTCCCGATTGAATTCCATATATACCGCCCTCATTATCATTTCCATCTGTTATCCAGCATCGTTACCTGTTGCCGCTGTGTCTATAGTACGTTGAAATCTGCAGCAATTTAACCGTTTTGGGATGGCGCATTTCCTATCCACTTAACACGGGCAACGCGTCGTGTCGCCCTGTTCCGAAGAACAACCACACTATTGCAGCAAAACATCCCTTATAAAAGTGCAGGCGTTGAACAAGCGCCAATTTAATTGCTAACACCTCTTCTGATTGCTTTGCAACCTGTAAAAGTACTCGAAAGGTCTTCCCGTCACCAGCTCTGAAAATGTTCGCCATCCGAGCATCTCAAAAACAATCATCAGCAGCCGATAATGAGAAGTCGATGGAGAATTGCACCCCTAATATTCTTCCCTGTAGAATCCACCATGATGGGTTCGTCGAGTCGCTAGAGCATTACTGGAACCCCGTATCCGATGAGAAAGGTAAGCGTTGTGTTAAGCATACGGAGTCATTCTTCCCTCGATCTTCGTCTGTCTGCTAACATTCAGGTAGATGAACGCCTGCAAACTGCTTACTTCCGAGGACGCAGGCTTCGGGGCCGACGTGTTGCAATTCCGGAAGGCTATCAAGGTACGACTTGCATCTGCTGACCATGTGTAATACTATGCTAACCTGGCACTACAGGAATAGTTGTGCAGCATACTGAGCGTATTCTACCGCCTAAGAGAAGGGATACTGGGGATGAGACCGAGAATCAAATTGAGCAAGAAGGGCCAATAAAGGTCCTAGAAAAGCAGGCTACTTTTGACGACTTCATGGTCTGGGGCCATGAAGAGTTGCCGGCGGCCGACGATGCTTTCGTCAAGGGAGTCGAAGAGTGGTTGAAGATGGCTGAAGCGGTATGGAGAGACAACCACTGATCAGACAGGTGGCTAACCTTCAACCTAGTTACATACGCAAGTCAGCGACGCAAAGACAAGTTCCACTTGAATTCTCAGTGCTATTTGAGCTGAACCAATACGTCACCACTCATCCGAGCCTGGGATGCAGGCTCAGCCTCAGTGATCTGCTGTCGAGGCCCTGGCCACTCGCAGGTGCAATGAGCGATATGGGCAACATCGTTCGAAGTAACACCCAACTGCTAGTTCGAGTTCTTTTCAACTCGGATTAGCAGATGGGCGCTAGCCTGAGTACCGAGTCATGCGAAATGTTGCCGTAGAAAATCAGCCGGTCTCTTGAGGTTGACTTCTACTCACATGTAATGGAACCAATGGACCGAAAACTGCAGCCCGGCAACGAGATTGCACCGCTGCAACAAGGCGTCCACGCTGTGTCGCTGGAAAAGTGATGCGACTGGCAGTATCTGCTAGGGATACAGTCATCAAGACTCTTCATTTTCAGCCTAGGCCCCTTTCTGCAGCGTTTTCTATATAAAAATCTTACGATACATACTGCAGATGTTACATAGTTACCTGTCTGCGTATTGATAAGATAAGCTCTTGACCGCCTGATAAGTATTAGTTCTGCCCGAACGATTTGGGGTAGGGATAACATTGAAATTCCCAACTGCTGCCGTCATTGTTTTTACAATCAAGTGCCTTCTTCCAATTTACAATGCAGATTCTCGGCAGTGGTGAGAAGGTTACCCCGGAGGCTTTGATTCCCAAGTTTGAAGTCAACAGACTCCTCAAGCAAGGTAAAAATCATCTCCGCTCAAGATTTAGATTCACAAAGCAGAGTGTCCCTGATACAGTATTCGCTGTATACTGAATTGACCGCATGTAATTGATTATGCAACTTTATAGATCAAAATGGCCGCCGTATCGCCATACTCGGGTCTATTGACGGCAAGCAAGGCATCCTGATCGCAGAACGAGCAGCATTCGCAACCGAATCCCTCGAAGTCCTTAAGGCATTCCACGCTGCAATCAGCAGAGTAAACAATCTCGGCGACAATGACATATATCGATGGTACTTGGCAAATTCAGGCGCAGGCCAGGGTGGACAGCCGTTTCATGATCTCAAACTGAATCTCATCTGGCCTTGCACGGAAAAGCACATCAAAAAGTACTCGGATCAGCAACTACGCATGGTGACCGAGACGCCGGAGATCTACCGTGACTATGTACGGCCCTATATGAGCGCTCAGCGGGAAGAAGGGAGACTGAACTGGGTCTTCAACATCCTCGAAGGCCGGACAGAGCAGGAGGACGTGATTCTTCGGGACGCGGGTGAAGGCCCCGATGATGGGTTCCTGATGCTCCCTGACCTCAACTGGGACAGAAAAACCATGAGCTCTCTGCATCTGCTCGCTCTTGTGCAGCGACGAGATATCTGGAGTTTGCGTGATCTCAAGAAGAAGCATATCCCTTGGTTACGGTATCTGAGGCAGAGGCTGCTTGAGGGAACAGTGAAGATGTATCCAGAATTGGAGCAGGACCAGCTCAAGCTGTACGTTCATTGTAAGTACTATTCATTAGGGTGGTTTTGCCTGGCTCGAACGGAATGTGTACTAATTGCGATGCTAGACCAGCCGACCTACTACCACTTCCACATCCACGTGGTCAACGTCATGCTTGAGGCGGGTGCGACACAAGCTACAGGGAAAGCCTTCGGACTGGAAAATCTTATTTCTCAATTGGAGACTCTGTCTGGGGATCAAGATGCAAGCATGGCGGACGTCAGTTTGACATACTACCTCGGAGAAGCCAGCGATCTGTGGATGAACGTCTTCTATCCGCTGAAGAACGGGTCGAAGCCAGCAATTGGGCACTGAGTGCGATAGTCATGACTGATGATACTTAGAATTATGCTAGAACGCGTTGAACGTTCGTTATATGAAGGAGAAGTGTCCATTATACTAGATAGTCTTCCGAGTAAATCCGTTCACAACTGCGCTCCCAACCACCTTTATGCTCCCAAAAAGCTGTATCTGTTGGGTTCCTGAAATTGCCGCTAGTTCTTTGTTTCCTAGATAAGCTCAGTAGGTGGAACCGTGAGACAGTTTCATATGTATTTATTTCCCGAAACGGAATATCTTCAACCCCGCAAAGCGACGTCAATCACCCCTCACCGCGCAACCGTCAATTCCATCGTTTTACAACCCCCAACAATCCTTCCATATCTCTTTCCGACGATCTCCGAGCTCAAATCGACTTGTATTCTACAAAACTTTTAATTAATCGGTGTTCAACACAGCTCGACGCTCGACCATCATGACAGAGCATGTGGATGTCCCCAACACAAACAAGGCCTTCGTGCCTCTTGGTAAGTACCATATCTCCAAGCTCATCAACGATCCAAACTATAAATACTAATACCTCCGTAGAAAACAACCCAGAAGTCATGTCCCACCTTGTCCACCAACTGGGCCTCCCACCCACCCTCGGCTTCACAGACGTCTACTCAATCGACGAGCCCGACCTCCTCGCCCTCGTCCCCCGCCCCTCACACGCTCTCCTCCTCGTATTCCCCGTTACTCCATCCTACGAAGCCACCCGAGTCGCTGAAGACGGACCCTTACCCGAATATAACGGCTCCGGCCCCGGAGAGCCAGTAATGTGGTTCAAGCAGACGATCCGCAACGCCTGTGGGTTGATCGGACTCCTGCACGCCGTTGCAAACGGCGAACCGCGCAAACATGTCATCCCGGGCTCCGATCTGGATACTCTCCTTCGTGAAGCGGAGTCGCTGGGGCCCATCGCCAGGGCGGACTTGCTGTATGAGAGTAAGGCGTTGGAGAGTGCGCATGCGGACGCGGCGCGGTTGGGGGATACGGCTGCGCCGCAGGCGGAGGATAACGTCGATTTGCACTTTGTTGCGTTTGTGAAGGGGTCTGATGGGCGGCTGTGGGAGCTTGATGGGAGGAGGAAAGGGCCGTTGGAGAGAGGACGGTTGGCGGATGATGAGGATGCGTTGAGCGATAAGGCGCTGGAGTTGGGGGTCAGGAGGTTTCTGCAGACGGAGGTTCGGGTGGGTAATCCGGATTTGAGATTCAGCCTGGTTAGTCTGGGACCTTCTTTCGATTGAGGCTGTCGACGAGGCTGTAAGGGTCTTTGAAGTGGTTATCGTTGCGTGGTATGTTACGGATGTGTACAGTAGACAGATTGGGAGGCTATCATGCCTCACCTACAGGCGTCTCGGTCGTTGGAACTGTCTTACTGAAAAAATCAGATTCAGTGCATCATGGCAATCCGAAGCCGCTGTTTCGTATGTCAGATGGGACCTTGAGATCATGCCAGGTCAGGAGTTAGATGTAGCTACAGACATATGTACAAGTGCATTGAATTCCTCACCACTGGAAGTAAAGAAAGCCTTAGGCCTCAACCCACCAGTCATCTGAATTGAACTTCAAAGTTTCATTCCCACAGGCCCACCAACCGGCAGTCAAATTACGCGCGAATACTTCCAACGCAGAATACGCCATACAAGTATGGCCCGTCTTCGCGCCAGACCCTGTCCTCGCGAAGAATACCTGCTCAAAAACCTCCTTGAGATTTGGTTTTCGAGAATGGACATCCGGGACGCCTGCGATGACCCTCCGCGTAATAGCATCAGCCGCATCAGACGGCCGATCCATTCTCCTTCCAATGACAAGGATCTCGTACGGCTTCCGCCATAGCCCGTCCAGCGGCGTGATGGGCTCGCCCTTCGTCGTGGTCTTGATCCACATCCATTCCTCGTACACGGACAACCCCGCTCCCTTAATAGCATCGTATGCAGCTCTGCGTGCCTTTGGCGCGTTAGTTATCCAGATTGCTGCAATGGATACACACTCGGAGTCGTCCGACAGATGGATCTTCAGAATATCCCGTATGCGCTTAGACAGTAGGCCCATATCAGAATAGGACTGTGTCTGATAATGCCCGCTGCGCCGAACGGAGCGGTTCGACCAGGGCGGGTCGAGAAGGATCAAGTTGAATTTGCGGTCCAGAGATAAACCCGGGATAGGGCCCTGACTCGCCTCATCCTCTGCCGATAGCGGCAGCGAGCACAGCAAGAAAGTAGAGAATGGCGGCACGAAGAAGACATGCCGATGCGTGGTCGTTTGCTCACGGTGCTCGGGCTCGGGCTCCGCCTTGCAGCGGACATCTAGCAAGGCTTGTGCCGAAGACGTATTCCTAACCAGCACGTTGCAAATTTCCGGCAGCGATCCGAACATATTCAATCCCGGCGACAGGATAATCGGCGGGATAGTAGGAGCAGATACACCCAGCGCATCATCCGCCGAGCACCCATCCTCGCACGGTGACGTTCTGCTCCTAGTTCCGTCTCGTTTCCTCTTCAGCTGCGTTTCTTCCTCTAGGACCTTTCTCTCGCGACACCAGTCTGCAGAGTCCGACTGGGCGCGGCTAATCTCCTGCAATGCCCCCCGAACCAGAGGCTCAATGATTTCGGTCTGGTAGGCCTGTTCAGAGACCGGAATTCTACTGAGGACTCTAGCCCTCGCAGCATCCGATTTGGGCTCTGTGGATACTGCGTACGGCTTCTCTAGAGGGCTTGAAGATAAGAGATGACGTTTTCTGTGATTATCTATCCCAGTCCCGGTAGGGTGGGAATTGCGCAGTGTGGCTCCCAACTGCACCGGCGTAAGTCCCTGTGCGGATGCGATCGACGTCGGGATGTCAATCAAGAAGGTTGTTTTCTCTGCATTTTGGTAGAGGATGGAGTGTTGTGGCATCATCCCATGGTGGTATCAGCTGGTTGTGGTTTCCCAAGTGGGATGGTGCAAGTGTTGTTGGAAGAAGAATTCGGAGTTTACGCAGCATCATTTGTTTTTCAGAGCCCCCAAAAGAGTCTGCAATATCAGCAGCACCAAATTGGAGGCTGCCACCATTAACAGGGAACAAATATGGAACTATGCTGCATGCAGTGATGGAATTTAAAGACCTTTTCACATTTAAAATGTCTTGATAGCGAC